GAGCTGTTCAGCACAGTTTCCTGACCTAGTGGGGCTGGCTAGGGCTTAAGACAACATCAACAAGGCTGCAAACCAATCCCCAATCGTGAAATCCTATTTCGCCAAAATAGGATTGTTTCTTGGGGCTTGCCTATTTGAGCTGCTCAGCACAGGTTCCTTACCCAGTAGGCCTGGCTAGGGCCTGAGACGTCAAGAAGGCTGCTTGGCTTGGTGGAGTCCTGGTGCTGGACTTACCTCGCATAATTTTGTTTTGAAATTATTCTACCTCGTACCTCGCGAAGTGAGCTCGCAATAATTCGCTCAGATCTCATAGGTACCCCAGGTGACGGGTCCTATTCACGGTCAGTTTTCGACCTGAAGACCCCTCAGGACTTGGTGCATGTGGTCAGTGTGGTCTGCTGCGGGGGCCCGCTGTAATCAAGACCAACCAACGAGGGTTGTTGGGGGAACACACCCATCTGCCAAAGCGAAAGCTTTGGAAGGGGTAGGGGAAAGGTCCATGAAAGGTCCCAACCAGCTCCCTCAGTTTCACTCCCTCTGACTCATCTAAAAACCCATCTTCCCTCAGTGACTCAGAACTTTCGACCAACTCCGCCACCCTCCAAGTTCCTCTATCTCGACAAGCCGCTCCTGCATCCTCACCGAAACCCCCATGCACCCACCTTGGTCACATGGGGGAACACATGGCCCAAACGAAATATAAGGCTCCTACAAAGGCCCCTGCTGGGAGTCTCTCACCAATCATAAAGGTGCTTCCGAAACTTTTATAAGTGCACTTCTTAAGCCATTGGTCGTGCCAGTAGCCTAATGCTTCCAAAAAAAGGAATCAAAACACTCCACATAACCCCGCATAGAATTGGATAACCTTTACCTTCGCCATCCCTCCCCATAACTTCATACGCCTCCTGTGGGGCATCGGACTGGAGATTAAAATCCAAGCTACTGTGGGAGTTCTCTCTCTATCTCGCCATCCCGGTTGATTTCATTAAGATCTAGAGAGCAACCGGCAAATTCCACCGGATGACCTGCAAGGTGGCCCCTTTCCTTCGCGCAGCTTGGCGAACCGAACAACCTCCATGTTCAAAGACTTTATATAGATGGCGCATGGGACCAAATCAACTAAAGGCAAACAAAGACACATTCGACATGGTCAAGGGAAATGATCCATCACAAGCCCAGATCGCAAACACGGACACCGTGTTTAGGACTTGCTCGGTTCCCAGTTGCCCAAGTACCCAAGCCTACCCCCCCCCGTGCGCGCACGCGCGCAGCAAATCCCACCCACAAAGCCTTTGCCCAAAGCTGACTGGAGGCTTTTGCTCAGACCCCCAAATGGGTTGATACTAGAATAGGGAGACCCCCCCAGGCAACGACCCCCTGGAAAAGGAATAGCCGAAAAACCCAAGCCCTTTGGTTGGGCCTGGTTGAAGCAACTAACCGCCAGGTCACAAGCGGCCCAGGTCCGCCTCGTCACTGCTCGTCTCCCAGGCAGCCACATGCTCTGCACGGGGTGCCGGGCCACTCTGGCTGAGGAGCTGCCAGGAGGAGCTCCCGAGGTGGAAAGACCAAAGATCGCCACAAAGACCTGGGAGGTTTCAGTGGGCTTCTTCTTTGGTGAGAAGAAGGGCACGGAAAGACTATGAAAGACTCAAAATTGAGCTTTTGCTGCTTTATGATGGCCATGGATGGTCGATGGTCCAAAGTCTTTCTCACATTCTCTTTTATAACCGAACTTCTTCCTTGAGCCTTCCTCAAACATCCACTGAGCCTTCCCATGAGCCGTGCCCCTTCACCCGGCCGAAGCGGCTGCCGTCATACCCACCATGGATCCAAAGGCTCTCCGTCTCCGGAACCCACGCCGCCGCGTGATACGCGCGCCCACTGGGCTGGGGCAGATCCCTCCGGACCATCGGACTGCGCCAGGCGGATGTGTTGGAGGAGGACGGGTCGAAGCTCCAGAGGTCGTGGTGGAGATCTGCATAGTCTCCAGAATATCCTTGATTTTTTTTTTTGTGGGGGGGGGGGCGGAGATGCACATCTTCTTGAGGAACCTGGTGGTCTTTTGAGTATATATGAGGAGATCGGCGATAGTTTGCCATGTCCCTTGTTGTGATGCTGGCTTCTGACCTATACAAGATCAAATCTTTAGGGCCAACCCCTCAAGATCTCATCACCCTCATCTTGCGCCCCTTTTCATGGCATTGATCTGTGCGGATATCTTTGGCGAGTCTGCGATTTGCCAGGTCCTGCCATTGGCAAAACATGGCAAAACTCGGATGTTCTCTCCTTTCTGGGAACCCGTACAGTACTCACATGTGACTGTCTGTCTACAAGTACCTCCTTCGATTCGCCCAGGCTCCACCGTGGATCCACAGCAAGTCATTCACATCATCCCAGATCGCCACATGCCCGCTGCGCGCTGCAGGGCGTCCAAGCGAAGAGGTCCAACGGGTCCAAGCTCCAGCGGAGAAGCGCCAAAGGTCCTGGGCCTCGTCAAATCTATCCATAGCCTTGTAGAATCGACTAGATGTTTTTGAGCTGTTTTTTGGATCCCAGTTCCCAGCCATAAAGAGAAAAACACGATCAAGGTCACATGCCAATGTTGATAAACGAAGCTCTCACCGAACAAATGAGATGGGCCTGACCAGCCGAACGGCTCCTAAACTGGCATGGGACATTCTCCAACTCCCAAAATCATTCCACACTTTTTCCAAGACCACGAAGACCACGTCCAACATGCATGATCATTGCCCAAACGACCTGGGATATTCAATGAGATTCATACTTGCTCATCTATATATAATATATAGAACATAAGCCATATCTCACCATGTCTTCACCTTGGTCCTCTCACCTCCAGCCAAGCACTCCCAGTACTCCCCAAGCCGAGCAGCAAAGCCGCCTTCCTCCGTGCGCCCGCCGTGCAGCCACAGGGCCGTGCCGCCCCACACTGCCGCGTGGTCTTCGCGCGGCGTCGGCCCCGCGTCGTTGGACAACTGAAGCCACAGGCCACCGGAATCGACGTTCCTCAAGAAAGACGAGGCCAAGTGGGAAGTCTCATCTTCTCTCTCTCTCTTTCTTTCCAGACACAGAGCGAGAGAGAGAGAGAGAGAAGAAAACGAGAGAGCCCTGCAGAGATTTCTTGCAAGTCCGGCGTTTCAAAGCCACTTTCTCTCTCTCTCTCTCTCTTTCTAGACACAGAGAGAGAGAGAGAGAGGGAGAGAGAGAGAAGAACAACAAGAGAGAGCCTGCGATTTCTTGGTACAAGTCCAGCGCTTCAAAGCCACTTCAACACCTCAAACCCATTGACACGCCAAGAACTTGGGGGAACATGTTTACGGACCTTCCTTACAGTCACAACTGGGAACTCCTCCTACGCAAGAAAAAAGACCTCCACCACAAAGTGCAAGGGTTTCGTTCGTTTCAAGTTGCAACAGCCACAGAACCCAGATCCGATTTCATGCGGAAAGCCTAGGACCTGGATCAAAACTGTTTCTGTATACAACAACTTTCTTGACCTAAACCTCCACAAGAAGCATTTCCACCAGGCATGATGGTTCACGATGCTTGTGTGGAGAGGTCCCGACTTGACCTGAACATCTCTCATTGTTCGTATCCTTTCATCCGTGTCTGTCCCAGCAAACTGCATGTGCAGGTCTCAAAATCCACAGATCATCGAAGACCGCCTCCATGCTGGAGCCGCCATGCACCCAAAGCTGCCGGCTCGCCACATCCCATGCGCCCGCGTGCCACGAACGGGCGGCAGGTCGAGACGTGCTGTGGATGAGACTCCAAGACGCCTGGGCTTCCGGTACCGTTGGGTTTCAGTTGGGGGGGGCTCTGACGATGTGTTGGAACCGGGTTTTTGGCGGGCGACCTGGAGGCTCAAAAATTGGCCTGTCAACTTGATGAATAAATCTACCCTGGCCAAAATAATGACGGCTACGTGGATGGCACTGGCCCCGTAAGGATTACATACCATTTCCCTCATAACAAACAGGTGGTCAACTCCAAGTAATCGTCTGAGTCTGTGTGTGCCCTCGCCCGGTCTCGTCCCCCAAAAAGGTTGGCGATGAGTCGAGCTCATCATAAACACCAGCCGTCAGTATTGTCAGGCTGAGGGCAGTTTGATCGTCAGTATTGTCAGATATTGTCATGGCGCAGTATTGACCTGGTTGCTTGATTCATTGCTAGTGCTCTTTCTCAGGGCAAAAGCTCCTCTCAAAAACAACACAGAACTTCGCATGAATCCCACGTCAAAACGAAAGCTCTACTCTTCAGTGACCAGCTGAGTAGCTGAGGCCACGAGTGGCAGAACGGACAGGCACTTGAGGTGCTGCGACATGGCCCACGCACTGCAGACCATTGCCAGGGGAGCTGAGCTCCATGTTGATGGGCAAACTCTTTAAACGCAACCAACACGCAACACACGAACCGAGCTCCGGGGGAGTGTTTAGCTTTGGCATTGAAGAAGAACCATTCAAGGAATTAACAGGAGCTAGGAACAACCCCCTTCAGGGCAATTGTGCATGAAAAATAGGTATGGTCCTATCATGCATCCCTGATTTGTTCACCATCTGTGGGGCCCACGCTGGAGCTTCCAACTCTTCGCCAAAAGCTCTGCTGCATGCAAAAAAAATCGCCCATCAACCAGAGTGCGCTGCAAAAAGCGCTGCTGCCCTGGGCAGTTGAGCCATGAAACTGACCAAGCTGAAGCACTGAGGCTGAGGTGCTGCGGTGCTCAGCTCTTCGCTGGCTCGGCGATCCAAAACCGCAGGCTGCGCACCACTTGGCGCGTGCTGAGAATGCAAACCGCACGCGTATGCGTGCAACCAGTGGATGGGTGAAAGGTGGGCACCAAGGTGGGCACCCCATGCCTTGGGATGAACATCGGGGGGGACCGACCTCAGAACGATTGCCAGGTGAATCGCTATGGGTTCTGTCTGAGGTGAGGACGATGGGGGGTCCAGCCTCCGAATGACTTGGACCTGACGAAAAGGGACCCAGGGACCAGCTGACCGACCCCCTTTGGGTCATTGGTATTTCTCATATTGAGAATAAACACCACGAGTCCAGTGCAGGAACATTGGACCCAAGCGGTTTACCTGACTTCCAGGTCTGGGTGATGACCACTTGGAAGACTCTTGGGGGTCTCTTACTTGCATGTAGCCAGCATTTGTAGATGTCAACGAAGTAGCTGCAACTGAATAACCTCTCCAGCTGGAGACTGGAGATCGAAAGGTACCAATTGCCAACTTGTGATCACCAACCTGGAGTCACCTGTCGGGATGGTTTTAGTCCCAACCAGTGGGGGGATGTTCTGGGCACCCCGACTTCCTCCGTGGATACAGTAGCACCCTTTGTGACTGCTGGAACTTGTTGTTTCTTCCACCCTTCAGGCCCTCTTCGGCCCGCCGAATTGGGGTGTGTGACAGGGTGTCTAAATATGTCACCGAACAGAAGGTGAAGGGGTGTCCATTAACCACCCCCTTAATTAGGGGGCTCTGATAGCATGTGTCGTTGGCTTTTTCATGTTGCTTTGAGAGACCCTTCCAAGCGCGAGGCGTCCAAACGCGTGGGGCGTCAGTCCTGAGCTCGATCAAAGAGCAAGTCCAGGTGGGCCATGCATTCATCCGCCAGCCGCGCGTTCGCCACGTGACTCTCCGCGGGAGTGCTGACCATCCTCGGCGAATCGGCGTGACATCGGCGCAGGGATGCGATCCATGGGGCACCATTGCAGTTCCGGCAGTCGGGGTGCTATCCATGGAGGCAGTTGGGGTGACCCAACTCCTCCCACTCACTGGATGGGACTGGGAGCAGCACCTAACTCCATCACCATGCGACTCCTAGAGCTCTTGGTTTTTCTCCTCTGCGGTGCCCCCTCACTGAACCGACGCCCCGAGCGCCCCGACGACGTCCCGGTCCACGGTGACGTGGACCGACATCGGTCCGACGCGGGGACGACGTGAACCACGACGCAGAACGTCCATCGACGCTAATAAGGTGAAGGAAGAAAATGCCTCCCAAACTTCAGATACGAAGAGTGAACACCTGAGCAGGTATAGGGAATTACAGAGGTGGGTACTTATAGGGTCTGCAGGTGAGTAGGCAGGTCGGTATAGTATAGGGTCCACTAGGGTCTGCTTCTCTCCATCCACCTGCCCACCTGCCTGGCGCCCCCTTCGGCCGAAGCGACGAGGAGGTACTCGGCGGCCTGTGAAGCTCCAGTGGCACTTCCACACCGCTCTCCACGTCCTTGGTTCGACCGCTCTCGCTTGGCTCGCTTGGCTCGAGTGACAAGGAGAAACGGCAAAAGCCACCGGTGGAAGGTTCATAGCAGCCTGCTGCACCGTGCGGCACAAGCTGTAGATCCCATGTTTTGGTGGATCTCCATGTTTGCACTACAAGTCTACGAGTCCACAAGTCCATTCTCCATGTTTGCACATCACATGTTTAAACAAAAAGTATAGGGGGTGGCCTAAGGGGACCCCCTCTCACAGCCCCCCTGGAATAATAAAAATATTATCCTGACCACCATCCAGATAGATGCTGAATATTATCCCAGTAAAAAGTGTCTCGTAAAAATGCGATCTCATGTTCAAAGGACGGTCGACAGAAAAACCAAGCGAAGACGTTCGATCTGGCTCGAGCTCGCCAGGCTTCTCGCGATACCTGGCTCCTGCTTGATTCATCCTGGCTCCCTGTTTAACACAGAGTCCTGGAAATCGGAAAAATGTAGACTCTCCGCATCTCTCCGCTGTTGAAACATCTTTTATGACTCTCCGCCGTTTGGAGCACCGTTCGATCTGGATCCTCTGCGGGATCCACTCCCAACTTCCCCAACACATCCCCTTTTGCCCCGCTCCAAACAAACAACACGTCTGTTAAACCCGTTCAGTGGGGGGCCCTGAAGCTGAAGTAAGAAACTCCACCAGGCTTACGTTCTCGCCGGGTAGAAGATGTAATAGGATCAAGTTGATGATCTATACCACTCATAAGTCGGGAATTCCCTAACCTACTCACCTGCCGTCACCTGCCCTCACTCCTCATCCTCCAAGCATCTGTGAAGCTACTGACTGAAAACATGGAGACCCGTTGCGGCTCCAGCCGCGCCATGGCGGTCCAGGGTCTTTCTCTCGGACGAGCCACGACCGGGCGAGCACGAGCGGGCGAGCCACAGAAGCCACAGAAGCCAAATGGTTGGAGTGATGCTCAGTGAAGGGAGGGGAGCTGAAGACATGTGTCTTCGGTGTTCAGGGAGTGAAGAAGAGGCGAAGGAGGACCAAGAAATGGACGAATTGGGAGGTGAGGATGGGTTAGTCGCAGAAATTCTTTGGAGTCCAGAGATTGGACGTTTCGTTGACCTCTTCCAATCGTTGACGCGTTCACATCGTTTGGTGAACCGAACGAATGAGTCAGAGTGGGGTGTCCCGGGCCCCCGGTGTCTTCCCTGTCTCCGTCTCGGAACCTGCGGGTTGTCCACTGACATCCACTGACTGGGTAGGGCTTTAAACAAGTTGAATGCATTATTTTGGTGAGCTTGGATGTCCAGCTGATCTACCATCTGTTCATAGATTTCAGGTTGCTTCCCCAATCCTTCGTGGAACTTGCTGTACCTTGGTCACTCACAGGAGAAATCGCTAAATGATTGAGGAAACCACCAAAAAGCCGTGGAAACAAGCACTTGGATGTCATCAGCGATGTCTGGCAGCAACTGTCACTTTGAGAGTTCTATAGATGTCCAAGTTCTATAACCGAGACGCTCCATCGGACTGCCATATATATGATGCCTACATTGGCCCCCCTGGCACCACCCCTGGCCTGATCGGCCGTCCGGACTGGCAGTCCCAGACAGGTCGCGTCTGGGTGATCATGGGCCAGAACAACAGTTACTAGTTCAACCTAAGGGTGCGAAGTCGCTACCCGGGAAGTCCTCCAGGCCCAGTCCCAACGTCAGATCTCCACCGGTCCCCAAAACCTTCGCCAGAAACACACGCGCAGCAGGTGTGATGCTTGCTAAGACTGTGTTGGTCCAATATTTACCAACCTTGGACCTCGGGGTAGTTTCAATGGGGTCAAATGTATTTTAAACATTCCCTATAGCGAGTCATAGAATATGGGATTTCCATCCAATTCCATCACATTGAGTCATGGACTCTGGGCTGATCTGGGGCCCCTCGATCTATCCACATCCGGCGTCCCTCTAAGAAGCCTCCCCCCCGAACTGGGCATGGCGAAGAACTCATCGGCCGGGCTTCAGCGGTGAGGCGTTGACCTCTTCGATGGTGTGCTTCCTTGGGCCTATCCCATTACCAAGGGGCCCAGTGGATGATGGGACCGGGCCCAGTGGATGATGATGGGGCCTGGTTCAGTTCCAGGGCGATCTCTTAAGTAGTGATGTTCTTGTGTTTCGACTGTGACAGGTAATGGAACACCAATCGATTGTATGCGGAAGATCTTCTTCAGGGGTCTTGATTAACAACCTCAGTCTGAACGTGGTCAGCATCCAGCAGCTTCCTGGTTCTTCACCACATGTCGCCCGACGACACGCTTCGAGCCTCATTTCTTCTTTGGAGGCTCCTAGGAAGCTAGGCGAAAAGCCTCAAGGCACTCAAACGCTACTGTATACCCTGGGAGTTAAAGACTATAAAAAGAACGGTCTTTAGGTGACCCGAGTCCAGGACTATCCTTTATATCAGTCGGTCAAAATATAGTCGAACTGGACTTCTAGGGTATACGTTATCCCATTTTTCTTGGAATCCTATCGAGTGGCATCTCCCTTCTGACCAAGCTCCAAACAGCGAAACAACGCGGTGCCCAAGCCGCAAATAGACAGCCAACAGGGGATTCCACCCCTGAAAAACAGGTATTGAACAACTGTTATTGTAAAGGGTTCACGCCCACGCCCAACATAATGCTCCACAAATACACAGCCAACAGGGGTTCAACCCCCTTTCCAATATCTTCCAATGGTTTCTTGATTCGTGCTCAAGCGCCTCCAACCACCCGGTGCTTTGCCGACGCCTACTGACAAAACACACGCAAGACGCTCCGACGTTCGGAACGGCTCCTTGGGCGGCATGTGCGACATCATGAAGCCTCAGTGTTCTTGGGGGTCGTTGTCAGTCCTACGGTCCGTAGGACCGGTCCTCAGTTTGACCTCATGGTACTGGCAATGTGCTAGTCCTTTGGGACGTCCTTTGGGTCAAGAGACTTGTATATAAAACATGGATGGAGTGAGAGGTGAACATAAAGAACAGCCCGGGCACCCTGGTTGACTCGATTAACCGCTGAAAATAATTAAACATGAACAAGTGCCTTTTTGATCCTTTTTTATAAGGGATGTCAACCTCCCCTCCCATGGTT